GAGCACTTGAATTGACTAATCCATGTAGTTTTTACTGGAAAACTCTGGGACACAGTCAGGAACCTTCCCTTGTTAGACCAGTTCGCCTCTTTTTTTTCCAGATTCATTTTCTTCTAAAAAAAACCATAAATTATTTTCAGATGAAGTACTTATAAATTCACTACTATAGCGACATCTATTCGTACTTTTTCTGGGAATCGAACCATTTATTTTATATTCATATCCGGTAACTGGTAATCGGTTTTTTTTACAATTATTAAATACTACTAATATTCAGTTATAACAAAAAAAAATAATATTTATAAAAATTAAAAGTAATAAACATATATAACTTCTTGTTTTGTTTTCATACGCATCTGGCAAAGCCTATAAATCATTTGAATTCTTAAAATCTTTTTTCATGCTACTGAATTTTCTTTCAATATATATTTGTATTTCTTGTATATATGCTTGAAATAATCTACAAATTCTAATATCAGTAAAAAATTAATTTATTCATTAATAGATTTTAGAAGGAATTGATCTTTTCTCTGATTCGCTATTGTAAATAAATAATTTTGTTTTATTATTGTAATTAATAAAAATTCTATTCATTGTTTTTATTTAATTTAAACTATAATTTTCAAGATTCTCGACACATAATGAATAAAAACATTATACACAAAAAACAAGAATAGCAGCTATTGGTTAACTAGCGGACTCTCTTTTTTTTTCTTTCCTTATGTTAGTAGAGGTCTATTATTTTTACATTTTCTTTGCTTTTCTCGTATTCATCGTTTGCCGTCCAACGGAGTACAAGACACTATAGTAAAAAAGCATAGGGAAAGGATCAATAATAACATTCGTTCCGTTCTGTTCTATTTTTTTCTCTTTTCTTTTTCTCGTTTTATTAGTAACTCTGTTACGATTATAAAATGAGCCTTGTTTTTTGTGTAGGCTTTTAAAAACCACAAGAAGCTATTGGTTCATAAACGATGATGTATTTTGTTTTGTGGTTGTTACTAAATTTTAAAAGAATTTGAAATAGCTATTCAAAAAAAAAGTAGATAAAAAAAGTGTGCATATTCATTGATGAATATTTTTCTTTTTTTTTTTTTTCTGTTCGGGTAAAGAAATATTATAGTGTATAATTAACGTTATTTTTCATAGCGTACCTGTCAAAATTATATCATCAACTCATTACTCTTTTCTCGTTTTTCTTTTTCTTTCTTTTTGCCTTAGGTGTTTACTTTTTTTTCTATTCTACATTGTAGACTTTCTCCACTTGGATATTATTTATTCAGTTTTTTTTTCTTCTTTCTCCCTTTCTTTCTGTGTCTTGTTTTTCGCCTCTATCTATTCAAAGTTAGGAAAATCATTTTTGTACTAATGTATTTTTGAAAATTACCACTTTATATGTTAACTATGAACTACAAGAACGCATACCGCCAATATAATCTTAAGACTAACAAGAACAATATAACAGATGAATCATTTTCTATACATAAACATCAACAACAAGAACATAAGAAAATTTATATACGGAAAAAATCTGATGGGTTAATATGTCGTATTTGTGAAGGACCAGCACATGGTTATAATTTCGATACTATTTCATGTGAATCATGTAAAGCATTTTTTCGACGAAATGCTTTAAGATCTAATGTATATATGAATAAGATTTTCATTAACAATATAAAATGATTTTGTTTTTTTCTTGTTCTATAGAGAAAACTTGTATGTCGAGCTAATGATGGTCAATGTATTATAACAGTGACAACACGAAAACAATGTAAAGCGTGTCGATTAGCGAAATGTTTTGAAAAAGGTGTTTGTTTTTATTGTCGTTGTATTAGATTAAGAATATATATATAAATCTGTCGTATTGAATTTTAGGTATGCGAGCAGATTGGATATTAACAGATGAAGAACGTATAAAGAAAAGATGGAAAGTTGAAGAAAATCGTCGTCGTCTTCGTCAAATACTTTGTCCAAATTCATTCGAATCCGATGAAGTATAATAATAATAAGTTAATAAAATTTGTTTTTTAGTTTTGTTTTCACAGTCATCATACATTCCATTGAAAAATGAACCATTGGAAAATCAAGATATAAAATTTTCTCCTGTTCTATTTCCAATAGTATTATCATTGGAAGATTTAAATAAAATCAAACAAATTCAACAAGCATATATAGATTCTGTTCGTTTAACATCATTACCACCATCAATTCCTTCATACCCACATATAGTACGAATAGATACTCCATTGGATATGTTAAATTTTCCAGTAAATATTCAAGCATCACGTCTTATAACGTATTTTAAACTTCTACCGGAATTTTCATCTTTAAATGACAATGATAAATTAATTTTAATTAAATATAATACATTTACATTAGTATTTATACGTTTAGCATTAAATTATAATCCATTAAATGATAGTTATCATGAACATGATACAAATGATTGTGCATTTTCTGGTAGAGATTTTATTCAATGTTTTAGTTTACATCAATATGCTCAATCAACACGTTCTATTGTTCGATTATTAGATGCATCACAAAATGATCGTCTTATAACACAAATATTATTAATAATTATATTATTTTCAAAAGGTTCATCAATTTGTACATATATAGATGAAGCTGAACCAATAGTACAAGATATAATATCGATATATTATGCACAAAATATTTTCATTGATTTATTATGGAAATATTGTGAAATGAAATATGGTTATAGGAAAACAATTCACATTTGGTTAAAACTTGTTACATCATCAATAGAAACACATTTACAAGCATATAATATTCGATTGAATTATGTTAAAAATGAATTTATTGCAGATCAACTTGTACCACTTATGAAATCAGTTACATTAATTGTCTAAAACAAAGATCGCTTTGTTTTCAAATATAATTATCTATTTTTCTGTTAATATTTTTCTATTTGTATAGGTTATTGACATGCATTGTTTGTTTTTTTTCTCAAATTACCAAAAAAATAAAATAAAATAAAATCATACAAACATTTTCATGTTTCTATTAGAAAATGAACAAAGACAATTAAACTGTACAGTTGAAACTAACTGATCATCATTTTTTCTAATGCTTTTATTTACTCTATGAGATTTCAAGCATATTTAAATAGAGATGTAAACTTCTTCGGAATACGAGATCTTAGAAATACGAGAAAAATGTTAATTTCCGTTCCATGATAAAATGTCATAGTTCGGAGAACATAGATTGTTTGAGTTCTAGAATATATAATCGTAATCATGTTAATATCTCATATAAAATTTAATAATTGATACAATTTATGTACTAAGATAAGAATATAGGGAATTTTTCTTTGAGAAACAAAAGAGTTGGTTTTCTCAATGCAAATACTAGATCGTACATATTTTGATATTTTAATTTATTTTTAGAGAGAAAAGAGTTCTTTTGATTAAATAATCAGGAAAGAAAACATTATCAATAGAAGTATTGTTTTCTTATGAGTATTCATAGAGGTCCAGGTTAAAAATAACAAATACTATTTGAAGAAAGTAAAGATTATTTTTTTAATTCGACATTTTTTAAAGGATTAAGACAGGTAAAAAAAACATCTTGATGAAGTCGTTACATAGATATTGATATTTTTTTTTTTATAGTATCATCGAATTAATTATATATATATAATGTGTGTATTTGACATAGATATCTATTTTTGTCATTTTTGATGAATGAGAAAGGATATGAAAGTCAAATTTTAGAAAGATAGTACTGATGAAGGTAGAACTCAAAATATGATTCTTGCAGGAATATAAAAGAATAGAGGTTTTTAAGATTTATCTACTCTGAAAGAATCATAATTTGAAAACTCGAGATCAATTGACTTTTTTATCTGAGTTTTTAAATTCTATTCAGAAAAAAAAATTCATTAAGTTCATATACTTGAAAAGAATGCGTCTATCAACATTGATTGATAGCTTATCTTATATAGTGATGAAGTCTATGTCTGTATAGTACTCAAGGTACATGAAAAATATTTGATTATTATTTAACTTCTTCAACTTTTTTCGTTAGCTACATTATACTAAATAAGACTACTTGTATACATGAATAAATGCATTTTGTTGGCAAATAAATACATCGTCAACATGAATCGTCACCGCCTCTTCATTCTACCATTTTCTCTTTTTCTCTCTTTCTCTCTCTGTTTTTTTTTCTTTTCTACCACTTCGTCTAGATCTTGTACTCTATTACCATTCTTTTTCTTTCCTTTTATTTTTCTCGACCAAGCAATCACATGCAAACTCACATAGAGCCTTGCTGGCTGTATTTGAGTACATGTGAATTTGCGTTTCTACTATTCGTTTAAGCTTTTTTTTTTTCTTATAATTTTAGTTAAAATTAAATGATTTATTATACAAAGATTTTACATATCCATAATGCAAACAGATCATAGAGTACCAACAATAAATACAACAGCTATGCGACAACAACATCGAAAACGTTCATATTCGAGTGGAAGTTTTCGTAAACGTAGTCGACATGATCTTATTTGTGTTGTATGTCATGCACCCGCAATGGGTAAGAATCAATGTTGTACTTAGAACTATGATTTATTTATCCCTGATACCCTTTTTTATTCATTTTGATGTACTTATACTTTTATTTAAAAAGGTTATAACTTCGACCAAATAACATGTGAAAGCTGTAAAGCATTTTTTCGACGAAATGCATTGAATAATGTGGTAAATTTTCATATCATTTCTCTAATTTATATTATCATATGAATTTATTTTTTCTTTTTAAATTAATTAGAATAGATTAAAATGTCGAGCCGGTACAAATGATTGTATTATTGCATTGGAAACCCGAAAAGTTCGTACATAAGATTAGATTAAATTTTTTTTTAAAATATAATCTCGGGTTTTTTTTCTTGTTATTGTTGTTTTTTTAGAGGTGCAAGTATTGTCGTCTAAAAAAATGTTTTGAGAAAGGTTTACGTAAAGAATGGATCATGTCCGAAGAAGAAAAACGTACAAAAAAACAAAAAATAGAAGATAATCGTCGTTTACGTGCTCTATCACAAACTTTATCTTTATTATCCCAATCATCATATTCACCATTAATTATACCTGATGATCGACATTGTCAATTTTCTTTTCAACCATCTGAAGAAATATTTGATGAAGATTCAAATGATTATAAATACTCTTTAAATGATAATGATCGTATTTTATTAACTAAAATTGAAGAACATTATACTCAAGCTGTTCGATTAAATATCTCAGTTATAAAAGGTTATGATAATCCATGTTTAAGAAATCTTAATGATTTTGTTGATGTTCTTAATGAACCAGCTCATATAAGTGCTTTACGAATGGTAACACTTTTTAAACTAACACCAGAATTTAATGTAGGGTTTTTATTTATTTAATTATTTATTTTCGGTAAGTTTTCATAAATACATTTTCAGTTATTACATGAAGATGATCGACTTGCACTTGTTAAACATAATTTAATGGCAATATTAGTTTTACATTTCACTATATGCACTGATATTACCACTGGAATTTTTCATGAACCAAATACTCCAAATGATTTTTGTTATCATGCCAATGAATTATGTAATTATTCCAATGCCATTTATCTTAAGACAATAGATTTAACTGATCAACTACAAAAACTATGTTCTTATGATCGTTCAATATTAAAATTATTAATATTAGTTATAATTTTTTCTAAAGGAGCTGATTATGTTGAACCAATATTAGTCGAATCAGAAAAAGTATTTAATGCTCAAAATGTCTTTGTTGATCTTCTATGGAATTATTTAAATGTACGCTTTGGTTATGATCAAACACCACACCTTTTTTCTCGTCTTATATTTTGTTGTATGAAATCCCATTCATTGGCACGAGAAACAAAAGAAACAATAACTAAAATAGATGTTCAGAATAAAAAATTTGCTCCATTAATGCAATCTATTCTAGAAACATCCTAGTGAACATTTGAATATTCATATTTGAAAACATATGTATATATACATGTATACGTGTGTGCATTAGTACTATTTTACGTTCTATGTTGATTTTTGGAAAAAAAGTGTTGCTCACAAACAGAAATAAATTTGAACGTGTTGTTCGTCTTAGATTTTAATAAAAATTATTTTTGTTTGTATTTGAAAACAATGAAAAAAAATACTATAGACTTTTATTAAATATTATGTATATTGGATAGATAAAGAAGACTCAAGTATTCAAAAATATTCATACATATTTAACTATAAACTTGATTGTTAATATATAGATATTAATCGATTTAAATTTGTATAAATTTTGCAAGTAAAAATAATTTCAGAAATCTTGGTTTTTTTTTCGCAGCTGCTAAATTGTTGCTGTACAAGTCATAAATTGATATTTGTCTCATTTCGTATCGATCATCAATCAAAAATTGATAAAAATATTATTCGATGTTTATTTCAAATTAAATTATCACAGTAAATATTTCTTTTGTAGAGAAACACAATTTATTAGGAATGTTGAAGTATATTAGTAATAATTTGAACCTATCATCCCGACAGACTGTATATCAATAGCGTCTCATTATACTATATGAACTAATGCGTTATTGCATTTTTGTAGAATTAAATACAAGGATATTGAAGAAATGTTTCCCAAAATAGATAGAGCATAATCTTAGCAACAGAAGAGACATCATGCTTTACATCTTAATTTCACAAGGATTGTACTAACACCTTTCTTTATTGTTTTTATATAATAAAAATCGATAAATAAGGTGTGACATCATTGTTAAAATTTATAAAGTTTAATTTATTAACATTTAATGTCAAAACTACTCGGTATATAGACTACGTTATACAAATAGACTCGAGTACTTATTAACACATTAATAATATTAACTGAAAATAGTTTTTTTTTTTATTTGAATTTGTTTTTACAATCCTTTTGTCTATAACAAGCACATGACTTTTTGGTCACTTTTCTGTCTTTATTCCCTACATGTTCGAGTACTAGTGCATGAGATATTAAATATGACATACTATTGAAGCGTGTGTTTTTCATCTCTGAAATGTTGATCATATTTCTAAAAACAAAAGGAGTTGCATGTCGTATGTAATGAGGATCATAAATACTCATAAACGATATTTGTTGTGAGAGATATCCAAGTCAAACAATCGAACGATCACATCTTTCACTGATTCACATCTGATCTTTTAAGAAACAAACGAAAACATATAAGAATTCGTGTTCTCAGAAAAAACTTATATTAAGTCTGGGCATACGATTCTTATAAGATTTTATAAAATCCTTCGAAAAGATTTTTGTTTTCAATTCATTGAGTGTCGTTTGATAGAGCACCAAGTTACCAACGAAACACTATTTGTTCAATATTCGAAAAGACTTTTTCAAAAAATATTGGTAAAACACTAAGTTCTAAATATGATGATTGGAGTAGTCCATTATCACAAACATGTACATGTTTGTGGTAATGGACGGCTCTAACCATCATATTTAGAATTTAGTCTTTTTTCAATATTTTCTGAAAATATGTTTTCAAATATCGGAAAAATAGATTTTCATAGGTAACTCGATATGTTCTATCCAACGACACTAAATAAATTGAAAACAAAAATTTGCTAAAATTTTGGATTTTCAATACCTTAAGTTTTGAGGAGACCAAAATCACTTGTACGTTTTTCAGAGGATTTCATCTGATATATTTATCTGAATACAAAAGTTTTTAATTTTATTGTTCTTCTTTCGATTATTGATTCTAAATTAAACTATTTACACTCCGAGAAAGTATTGTCATTATTCTTCATTTATATCGGAATATTTTTACTTAACCAGATCATTTCAGTCTCCATCCTCAAAACTCGATCTTGGGTCAGATACATTGAAATTGCATGAAATTTTCGGAAGATATTCACCAAACAAGGATAAAAAAAAAATAGCCCATTTAGCAACGCAAAATTCTCTGTAGGCCTTCATTCTAGATACTTGATTTTTTTCTATTTGAAAGAGTGTGTCAGAGTTCAGGGCGTGACTAAGTTCTTCTTTTTTTTTTAGAGGAGAAAATTTCAATGACTAAAAAATTGTGCTCTAATTATTAAAGTACTCTTTTATTCTAGACTAGTAACAAAGCATCATTCCAAAAATGGAGTGTATTATGTTCTGCATCTGAGTATACTGTTTTAAACAAAACAACAAATATATAGAACAAAGGTCTACAGAGAATTCTCGGTTGCACGATCAAAAAAAAAGCGAAAAAAGATTTGCTGCTTTTTCTGAAAAAAAACAACATATTTGTCAAGCAGAAAGTGATGGAAATCATCCCAAAAACAAAGTGTCGAGTAAAAACAATCATGTCGTTGATTAAGAAGGGACTTAAATATATTGTTGAGATAACATAAAAATTGATGAAAATATCTGACAATCTTTTATATCAAATCATTGATTGACTTTCAAGATAAATATGTTAGTGTCCAATCTCATATCTGAGAATGGACGCGTTCAATATTAGATTCGAATCATTATTGGTAAAATCGTGTTAAAACAATAGGATTTCTCGTATTGCAATCATCAATGAAGAAACTAAGTTTGGACTCAAACACTCATGGATAATTTCTCATAATGGCTATTCTTTCTATAGAAACTTATCTATAACTTTACAAGTCACACTTTAATTTCTCCGTCAACGATTGTATCACTTGAAATACCTCTGTTTCAACACAGTTCGTCAACAAAAATTCCAATGCAGCATCTATCTCAAGATTAAGAAGATTAAAAAATCTCTTTTTTTGGAAATCAGTGCGCAAAAAACCCAATAAAACGTTGGAGAAAAACAAACATTTTTCAAAATCAGGGAGTCAACTCTTGACACTTTGACTATGAATTTAATCGTTATTCATTTCAGTCGAATATAACATAAATATTAAAATATTTGTTTAACTACAAAAGAACAAATTAATTGAACTAATATTTTTTCAGTTACTTCCTCATCCAACACATTTTCATGTATTTTGAATGATCTTATTACATTCACAACCAAGGAATATAATTGTCTGGTGTTATTATTTTATTTTATCACATAATTTGAATGTATATTTTTTAAAGAGAATACTTTTATAAAATAATTATATAGATTCTGTTCAGCCTGAGGGCTACTTATCTCGAGTATTGTTTTAAAATGAGAAAAAAAACAACAACAACAACTAGTTAAAGTTTGCATGAATAAAATTTTTTCTTCTGTCAAGAGTTATTAAAATTAATATGTGAATCGTTACCATATCTGATTATTTATTACTTATCTTTTTTTCTCCTAGAAGCAAAGCATACACCTGATAAAGTATCTTTTATTTCTTGGTTTCTATTAATTATTCGTTTTTTTAAACTTTATAATAAATGTCAATAGTGAATACAAAAGAATATTATTAACAACTAACGAAAAATAAAAATAGAAAAGATAAGATACGTAGAGACATTAAAAAGAGTGCGCGACTAACACAGTAGATAATTATATCTGCATTGTTGAAAGTATTCTTCGGTCAAGAAGTTTATCTAATATAATCATATATTGAAATATTTATATTATTTTGTATACATAATTTAAAATTAATTTTTTATTCGTACATCAAGTAAAAAACGAAATATCTAATTAATTATATATAAAATTTCATTTTGATATAAGTCGATATGGAAAAAAAAATATTCGTTGATATAATTACTTATTCAATTTTATTTTATTTTGTTTTTAAAATTTTTGTATCAGTTCGTTATGATTTAATAATATTTATCATTATGATGATTTTATTACTTTATAGATAAATTTTCATTCATTGATTATAAATAATCATGAACTGTTTTATGTAAAATAAATAAAAATATTTTTTGTTTGCTATCAGTAAATATTTACAATGATGTTGATGTCATCAACAAACAAAACTAGACGTCAGCAGCATAGAAAAAAATCAAACGATGAGTTAGAATATTTTTGTCAATAACATAAAAATTTTTTGATAGATATCGAACTTTACAGTTCAATGATATTCAGACATGAAGTTAAAATGAATCCAAAAGTAGACGAATAACTCATGTCATAGAGTACACTTCAAATCTATCTAGGAGTGTCGTATGACAATCACCATTAGCATTTATTAATATTAATGCTAATCTGACACTTTCAAGTCAGACTACGTTGTAATTTTGGATAATGCACTAAACAATTAGAGAACCCTTGAAATAACATGATGAAGCATTGACACGATCATTTTATTCTGTCATGTAAATGTTATAGAAGAACTTTCGTATGCTATGAAAATCATAAAGATTTTAACAATTATCAAAAAACATCAATGTAAAATCATGATTAGTCGTATTTCATGAAAAATCAGGTTTTATCGTAATTTATGGCACAAGACACGAGTTTTGATGAATTGGCAATAGATCGAATTTAATTATTGATTTCAATTACCGATTATGGAGCGTCAATTTATTAGAGAAATATTCGAAGTTTGTAAAACTGACAGTCAAATATAATCATAAAGATTTGAAACTAAAAGAAAAATTTAGTTTTTTAACATGGATGTCACTATGATGATATCAATGAGATTTCACAATTTTAGAAAACGATCATACTAAACTTCTCATATACATCAAAAAATGTTTTTGATAATATAGATAATTTCAATTAGAATTTTGTTCTATTTTCACATTCAGTTTTAGATGAGTCTTTTAATCTTAGAATAATATAAACACAATTCAAAACATTAATGTAAGCATATGAACTTTTTTTTGTCGACTATGTTCTTACTTAACTATGTAAAATTGCATGATGCATCGGGGTTTTTTTTTGTCTTAAATTTTTATTACATATTTTACTCATGTAGAATAAAATAAGCAGTATTCATCATCATATATTAATAAGACGAACTTCTCGGTATAACTGTCTAGAAATTGAGGTTATTTGAACAAAATCATT